TATTAAGCATCGTTTTCTGCGGAATTATGCCACATACAGTTCAACACCAAAATCACAAAATTAAAAAAAAAATTGAATAGCAGCAAATGCTTAAAACTCCTGATGCAGCGTTAAGTGTTGGCGTACATTTTTATATTCGTTTCAGTTTTTTTCCCAGTTCATAATATCAATATTTAGTTTTCTCAATAAAATGGCTAACATTTTTTTTTTTTTTTTTTTTTTTGCGTGTTTATGTGTCTTATCATTATTAACTTTTTAGGTGTTAATTTATTAATTAAGTTGCAGAGACATTGGGTTAATTTGAAGCAGGAAGAAGTGGAAAATCAGCAGTGCCCTCGCCGGGGCTAGAACCACGGACCTCTTGAATACGCGCCGAGCGTGCTGACCACTACATTACCAGAAATGCTAAGAAGGCGGGAGAAATACCTTATACACTCTTCCTTTTAAAGGGCGACTGAGGATTAGGAGACCCAATCTCCAAATTCTGGTGGTGCAGAATCATCATCCACTACCTATTTTTTTTAGTTCGGGGGCCACTGTAGAAACATTAGGTTATTTCGAAGCAGGTGAGATGAAACATGAGCAATGCCCTCGCCGGGACTCGAACCATGGACTTCTCGAACACGCGCCGAGTTTGCTGACCACTACACCACGAAGGCGGGAGAAATACCTTATAAAGTATCACGTTCATCTCACTTAATTAAAATTCAATTCTACAGCAAAATCACAATGTATTTAAAAAGCAGCATATCTTTAGAATTCCAGATACAGTTGTAGAGTCATTAGGTTTATTGGAAGCAAAAAAGATGAAAAATATGCAACCGCTTTCGCCGGGAATCGAACCACGGACCTCTGGAATACCAGCCCAGCGTGATACCGTTACACCACGAAGGCACACTAGGGAAGTGGGAGAAATACCTTATATACTCCCCTTTTTAAAGGGTGACTAGGGTTTTAGGGGATCTAGTCGCCAAATCCTGGGTGAGAAGAATCATCATCCACAATCCTTTTAGTTCGGGTGCCACTTTTAGAGTCATTAGGTTAATTGAAAGCAGTAATGATGAAAAATATGCAACCGCCTTCGACGGGAATCGAACCATGGACCTCTGGAATACTGCCCCAGCATGCTACCGCTACACCACAAAGGCACGCTATGGAAGTGGGAGAAATACCTTATAGACTGTTTGAGTTTGCTATACATGCTTTTATATTCGCTATATCATTTCTTTCGAAACTAGCCTCTCATGTGGCCAGCCGCTTAATAGATAACTTAAAAAAGAAAAAAGTATATAAAGATCTTAAGAGTCCAGCTAATGCAATTTAAAAAATTATTGAATAGTTCTAATTCAAAATGTCATGATTTTAAAACATGTTATTTAAATCAACCACATTAAAAAGTAAGAAAAAATATTCTCAAAAACTGCGCTTATTCATTTCAAATCACTTAGTTAATTATTCCGAAATATTTATCTTCTATTTTTTCGATTGGTAACAGTCTCACGAGCTGAGATAAAAATGTTTTTATTTCGAACAGTATTTATTACTTCTGCTTGCTTTCATATCATTAAATTTGTTAATGAAAAAATATGAAATAAATGATAAGACAAAATATAAATTCAAAATTCGGGCTTCCAAGTGCACATATTCGGGTGGAGGAATAACTTAACTTAAATAGGTAACGTCGTTTTTTCAAAATGCGAGAAACACACATTCATACATGTGAAATATTCATTCTTTAATTCCTTTAAAACTAATTACAGGGCGATAATATTTGGTGGAACAATTTGAAAAGAGATACGCCGTTTATAGTGAACCAGTGCAATACCTTTTATATTAAACTGTACTCATATTGATAAATTTAATTTTCAGTTTAATATTGAAATGACTTTAGGATTTGGTTTAACGGAAATGCAGAAGATGAATAGATTAAGTATATGAACAAATGTAAATGATATGTTTCAAAAATTGAGAACTGCAAATAACATACTACGGTTTCTCGTTTAATTTGAAAAGTTCATTTCAAACTAAGTACCAGAATCATACCAAATTGACATTCGATTCGATTTTTCGGTTTTATATAATTTTAATGTTTTAAATGAAAATTTAATTGAATCTTTTTCCAGTTTTAGATCACAAATGAACCAGGAGACCGAAACATATTAATCACCTTTTATGAAGCTTTAATTCATTTTCCCCTGATGAGTTATGAATTGGAGTTTCAGTAAAAGGAGATTAATTATTATTTTTATAATTTTGTATATTTTCCCTTTTGCATTTATATTTTTCGACTTTGTTCTACTATGAATTCTTATTTTAATTTTGATTTGTTTAGATATTGTGTTAAACCTTTTATACAAGGTTTTAATTATTAATGCTATTGAGGAATTGCCTTGCTCTGTAACTTTAGATGCTTTAAGTTTATTTATATATACAAAAGGAAGAAATCCTGGACATGGATGCTTTAAGAATCCTTAAGATTATTATGATTTAATAAAATAAAGGAAAAACTTTAATGATTGAGACTGAGAATAATTAGGATTGCAGGTGAGAAAAATTTAAGCCGATAATATTACAGGCAGCTAAGCAAGTACTTCCAGGCCTTAAAAAAAGCAAAGGCCAGGTATAACAAAGAATATGAAATAATTAATGGAAAGAAAAAAAAAAAAAAAAAAAAAAAAAAAAGGTCATAATGTAAAATAGTACAAATATATGAAAAAAGCTGAAGACGAGTATAGAGAAATTAGAAGACAGAAAAAGGATTATTCAAAATGAAGAGGAGATTTATAAGGAATACAATATTTCAAAAAAAAAAAAAAAAAGGGGGGGGGGTAAGTGTTTTATAATGTAGTAAACAGTACTAAAAAAGATTTTTATACTGGGATGCACACCTGCCGCGATAAAAATGATGAACTTATTAACGACAAAATTGAAATACTTAGGAGATGGACAGAACATTTCATAATTGCTCTTCCCAATTCATCCAACATTCCAATATATGTTGGATGAATTGGGAGAAGAATAAGGTGACACTTCTTGGAACCATTAAGATGAAGACTAGAAAAAGGATGAAGAACCTTTTCCGATTGGTATGCCAGTTAAATTACAGTTTATTATTTTCAGGTATCCAGTGTGGCATTTGTTATATTTTCTTTATTACAAAAATCACCTTTAAACCCATGCTTTGATTTCAAACAATCGAATTGCATTTTGTTACTCTATTCACTGTTTAATTATTAAGTTATAAAGTTGTTGTTAAGTTATTAACTTGCCTTTTAGTTATTAATGGCGCCTATGCTCGTGCTCGTTTCTGAATCCATCTTTTATGGCTACTAGTCTTAAAATGTTTTTTAAATGTTATGTTCAGTGAATGTAAGTGAATAAAAGCAGTTTAATATATATCTGTGGCATGCCACCTAGTGGCATTGCCATCTCTAACCTAGCACCACAATCCATCAATAAAATGGCGACAGCAATGAATAATTTAAATAATAACAGGTCAGCAGGACCGGATGGTCTCAAGGCCAAGCTCTTGAATGTGAAGGAGCCTTAGCTGACTAAAGAAATACATTCTATTGTCTCCAATGTTTGGACTTTGGAAAAATGCTCGTAGAATGGGAAGATGGTTCCATATGCCCAATATATAAAACAGGAGCTAAGCTGAAGCGTAAGAACTACAGAGGAAACAAACTGTTGAACATATAAGATATTCTCAAACGTTCTAAGGGAACGTCTAGCTACTTTTACAAAATAATAATACTAATAATAATTGGAGAATATCAGTATGGATTACAGAAGGGTAGTTCTACTACCGATCGAATACACACTATTAGGCAAATAATAAATAAGACAAAAGAAGATGATATAGATACATACCACATTTTCCTATTTTTAAGACTGTTGATGATAGAATTAATAGCGAGAAACTGTTTTAAGGAATGCTGGAGTTGAAAGTGCATGAAAAATTGGTGAAGCTGATAAATATGACTATTAGGAGAGTACAGTAAATCTGGAAATTGAATTATCAGATATCTTTTATACTGAAAAAGTACAAAAGCAGGGAAATTCTCTTTCCTGCCAGCTATTAGAAAAAGCAATAACATACTAAATATACAAACACAAAAGACTGTATTAATAAAATCTGAGATTTGTTGGCTTTTATTGATGACACTGACATCATGAGAAAAACGGACGTGCAATTATTGAGGCCTTTTTTTTTTTTGCTTTCAATTTGGCAGCAAAACATATTGCCTGACTGCCAGTGAAGAAAAAGTGTATGACAAATAGAAGATATCATACTTGATACCACTGTAAATAAATGACTATGTTTGTGAGGAGATTGAACAATTTAAATACTTCGGCACATTTGTAAATAATGACAGATATAACTACTGAAATCAAGAACCCAATCAACATGACTAAGAAATGCTATTATGGATTATGAAACCAGTTTAAATCAAAATCCCTAAGCAGTTAAACTAAAATATATTTGTACAAGACCTTAGTAAGAACTAAGTGCTGTATAGAAGCGAGTGTCAGACAATAAATAAAGCAGATGAAACTAGAACAATGACATTTGGATGAAAGAATATGATAAGAATTTTTGGAGCAGTAAGGGAAAATGGAGTGTGGAAATGAAGATATAACTTTTGGCAAAAATTTAGAGAATCAAATATAATAAAAGTTATTAAAGCTTTTCAACTAAGATGGTTAGGCCATATATACAGCTATGGAGATGAAAACATAGTGAAGAAAATGACATTCCAAGGTCCAGAGGCAAAGAGAAGGAGAGGAAAGCCATGGAAGAGGTGACTAGACCATGTGGAAAAGTGGTTATAGAATGCTGGTGTCAATAGGTGGAGGACTGTGGCACTGGATGGGTCAAGATGGTGAAAGCTGACTGAGACAGCCTTGGCCGAATATCGGCTGTACAACATAAGACGATCAGGTTTCCATTTGTTTCTTAATTTTTGGAAACTTCAGTATATTTTACAGAGACATGATTTTAATAAAAATATTTATTAATATCAAAATAAACATTATATGAAATACAAAATGGATGAAGTTTTAATCACATGCTTTATTTAATGGCACAAACTGCATGGAATGTTTAAAACTTAAGAGTCAATATTCTGCATTTTATCAATACTCTCTTCCTCTCGCTCTATAAGAGAATCCGTTGTTTCTTCAATATTATCTTCAGAAAAATCTTCCTCTAATTTCTCAATATCTTTAGATATAATATTTTGTTCCTCAGGTGTCATTTCTTCTTTATCTGGGGGACAATCTAAACACCTAAAGATAAGTTATTGACATTAATGTACAGTTTCATAACTTTTTACATGCACATGCAACAACAACAACAAAAGCCCATAAATTCATTTCATGGGCAATTTAAGTTTTCACATTAGCAATATTTACATATTTCATAATGGAATAGTATAGATCAAATCTCTTCCATTGATTCCAGTAAATCTTTGCTGAATGTGGGAGTTGCATCATTAACACACTGCCCACATGGCAAAGGAAAAAACGGGTTAGGTATAGTTCAGATTATACGTATAATTTATACAAACCTAAATATTATTGTTAATTTGAAAGAGTAAAATGACACAAATATTAATTAAAAGGATTTCTATTACAACTTAGTAAGTAGGTATATGATATAATTGTTTTTTTAAAGAGCTGGTGATTTTTGCTTGGGGCAGTGTCTGATGCAACTCATTAAATGCTTCGTGGCAAAGAATGCAAAGTTTTTTAATACCTTTCATTAAATATCATCTTCTTTCTTCATTTAGGTTAATCTCAACTACAAAATCAGACAGGATTAAACCAATAGGATCCCTTATTTCAACTTTCAAAATTAAAAATCTCTTGCGGATCAATGATGACACTTAGCATGCAACTTTTCTATCATGACTTTTGTGTTTTTTCCTCAAGCAGAAATTCTTATGTAAATCTTCTGATCCAGTTTCTTTGCAATGATTGTATTATCCAATTAGCAACATGATCATGTTATGAAATTTGTGTTCTTTTACTCGTTTAAAACTCTGGCTTTTCGGATAGGTTTATTGTACATGTTTTATGTTCACAGAGGCAAGAGGCCTTTTATTCTTTAATCCAGTTGTCAGTTCCCATTCTTTTTTGACAGCTCAGGACTTTTTAAAGGCAGGCCAGCCCCAAAAGTGTTTAATTCCAAGACATTGTTTAACAGTCACTTTATCTTTCCTCTCAGCCTCCGTACAGAATGTGCTTTATTTGCATTTGTTTGGTTCATCTACTGGTATTTCCAAAGTATGCTTTCTCTATCCACTCTTTCAATCTGTCACATTTTTTAAAAATTGTTATATACATACTACGTTCATCATATTACATTTAATTAAGTAATGTTATCCCCAGATATAAATTATAAAACCAACCCACCTCCCAAAAAATCCATCAAGTCATTATGTTTGCATACTTGCCAACCTATGACATTCAAAAATCAGGAGATTTTTCACAATGTTAAAAAGACTTTTTAAATGATAAAAATATAGTTTTTAATAATGAATTAACTTTAAATAGTAACTAATTCTTAAATGCAAGCAACAAAAAAATACCTTACACATAAAAAACATTTTTATTACTTGCATCGTTTAAGGAAAAAAAAAAAAAAAAAACACTTTAGTTTTCATACAAATGTTATAAACAGTGGCAAATTTTGCTTTCTTTAAGAAAGAAACTTCATAATTTTGTTCACAGCAATTGCTACCTAGGCCTGTTTTCGCTAATAAAAGTTTTTCGAATGTGTCATCACTAATATTAGATCTAAATTTAGTCCTCGTTTTCGCAACACTGAGAATCCTCTCACACTCTGCATTACTATAGGGAACTGTCAAGATGGTAACACAATTCTAGACAGTTCACTATATTTTACAGTTCCATCAGCACCTTTCACTTTTCCAATTAAACTCCACTGGGTGTCAATCCTAGCTGATTTTATAACTTCATCCAAGTTTTCTAATTGTAAACTGCTGTTATGCAGCTGTTACAATTAGGAAACTTGAATGAAGACTTGGATGGATTGTTTCAATTTTTCCTTCCTTTTAGAACTCCTTTCAAGATAATAATAAATATCAACGATGTGTTCATCCACATTTATGGGTAAAGAAGCTGCCCCTTTTTCAGCTGCTAAATTTAAGAGGTGACAGGTGCACCTCATAATCTGAATTTTCCTTTTCTTAAGATGCCTGCAACACCAGTCTTCCAAGCCTACCAATACTGGTGCATTATCGGCACCAAGTGCTAAGCAATTATCCAGAGGCCTGCATTTTCTTTTAAAGTTTTAATAATTAGCTGTGCTATATTAAAGCCTGTCAAATGTCCTTCTAAAGTAGGAACATAAAGTAAACTGCACTCAATTTCTGAAGACTCTGGATCAAAAATAACAATTGGATACAGTTTTGAATCGGTATTATTACTTCCATCCGTAGAGAGGCAGAAAGAAAGGAGCTGTTTTTTAATGCTATCAATAACTGAAGATTTATTTTTCAAACCCATTTCTTTAACAATTGATCCTGTTTTGATTCTTGGACCTTGAGTATTTCTTAGCGATTTCACTATCGAGAAACATTTTTCTAAGTAAATGCTGCAGCGTGATCCGATGCATTAAGTGGCAAGGATTGTACTTCCAGTAAAAAGGCAGAGAACAGACATTCTGCATTAACTAACTTTTGGTCCTTTTTTTCCGAAAATAAATTTAATTTTCCCCGTTTTTTTTTTAAAACAACTCATGTTATCCTTGTGTTTTTGCGTGTACGCCACATGTTTGAGAAACATCCGCCCTTCCAACCATGCGAAATCGAAAAATCGCAACGACAGGCGTTATACATCACAAATTTATTTAATTTCCTTTGAGGAAATAATGGAAGGAAAGTCAACTGTGTACGATTTTTGAAAAGGACACGAATATTTCACCTTTCTCGCACACATAACAAAACACGATAATTTCTAAAACTTTTTCCCCTTAATGGCACGTGCACTTACACAACTCAGGACAAAATGAACGAAATAACTAAAGAACATCTAAATAACAGCTTGCTTTGTCCTCACTGGCTAATATATGCCAGCTGACACGCAGAGGAGCTCGAAGCTTATTGGAGAACTGGAGAACGACGTTTCTGGAATACGTATAATGCTCTCACTCACAAAGCAGAAGCTTATCTGATTAGCAAGGTTTTGTTTTAGATATAATGTAGAATAATTCAATTTGCTTTCAGACATCCAAAAGCACTTTGTTTTTATTCATATAACAAAAGTATTAGCCAAGTTTCATAAAAGTCGTGAGAAATTTTAAGAATAAGAAAAAGTCGGGAGAAATATATCATAAATCGGGTTGGCGGGAGAGCGGTCGAGGAGTCTCCCGCTTAAATCGGGAGAGTTGGCAACTCTGTGTTTGTATGATTAAAATTGGAGAAAAGATTACAAATCCTTTGTGGCAACTATTAATTCAAGTAGTACACATGAAGTAAAATGTATAAAACTGGATTTATAGGTGATTTAGCAATGAGACAGCAAAAACATTCAGACTGTTATAAAAATAAAAATAGTGCATTACCATTCAATATTTTAATTGATAAGTTTATCAAAAAAGCAAATTCTAAAGAAGAAGATACAATAGTTTCTTTGCAAATACCTCAAACAGACCATGTAATTAAATAGAATCATTCCTATAACTCATTTGACAGTAATTTGAAATTAAATTAAAAAAAATTAACAAGATTCTAAAGCAGATGCAAAAGTATTTTGAGGTAGAACAAAATCTAAACCAATGGCTACAAATGTGCTGGTAAAATGGTAATAAGAGTAGTTTTGAATGAATTGAAAAGTTATGATCCAACTCTATTATTTTTGTCTTCAAACCAATACTTAAAATTAATAAGAAAAAAATAAAGGGGGAAAAGTATTCCCAGTGTGTGTTGAATATTTTACTATGGAATTTAGTACAGTAAATTATATTACTGACTAACTTGAGAATCAAGATGAAAGTGCAAACAGAATGTTCCAGTGTATAAAATACTACAAACAATTTGTAATTAAAATGGACAAGAATTTATTACTTTAGTGAAAATAATACAAATTGTAATTCTGGAATAAAGCAATTCTTATGTACTAACATCCTTACATTAATTGAAGGTGTTGTTAAAGCTAATTGCAATGCTCACATTGTTCATAACACAGCAAAATATGCTATTGGAAACTTGAACATAGACATAGAAAACATTGTCCTAAAAATCTATGGCCATTTTTCAATATCAGCAAATAAAAACGATGAAACACTTAAGGTCCACTAAACATTAATTTGTAGAAACAAAATTCTGTCAAATTCATAGACAAAATTTCATGAAAAGCCTTTATTTCTTAAGGAGACCAAATGATTGTACCAACCTAACTTTGACGGGCATAGGCTGTGTACGATGGTCGAGCCAAACCTAACTTTCACGGGCATAGCCCGCGTACATCAGGCCAGAGTGAATATTACGTGGAATATTTGATATGCAATTACAGTCTGATGCAATAATTATGGTAGACGCAAATATTACAAAATATTTATTTATACAAAACTCCAAAATACAAAATTAGTAATCTCTAACGATATGATATATTTCAAAGCATTCTGGTACATGTAATGGAACTTTATACTTTTTACACTCATGTTCTACGTGGATTTTCTCGTACTTGATCTGCATACTGATTCATTTCGGTTACAATAATGTTCCAAAATATGTCATCAAATATTAGATTAAATATATCAAATTCTCCTCTACTTCCTCCTAATTGACATAAGGCTTCCTCTCTTATGCCAGGAGTCATCGTATAGTTCCAGATTTTTGGATTATTTCTTATTTCTTTCCAAAGCCAGGACTCTTGTAGTTGATCATCATCGGATTATCACATATAATTATTCACCTATACTTTTTTCGAAAATTACATAATTCGTCATGTTTACGATTGTCCGGATTAGCGTGTTACACAAGTCATGCAAATGTCTCAAACGCTGCGCGAGCTTGTATACAATCTCAGACCAACATCTTCGAATCTAAATTGCAGGTTAAGATGTTAAAGAATGGGAAAATGAAATTATTACTCAAAGCAAAAAGAAAATTGAGAAAATGCAAGGATTTAAAGGAATTAAAAACTAGAAAAATTTACTTCCAAAGTTTTCACAATTAAAAAAGCAATTTCCCATAACTAAAATTGATAAAGCAAACAATAAGTTCAGTATTTTATGAAAAAAATTCTAAAATGATTTAATT